ATCTGCCCGTTTCTTATGGAGAGGTTGCACTGTATACAAAACTACACTCAAAATCATTGAAAGATTCAATATTTATTTGTTGGGATGAATTCACTATTGTATACAAATAGATAAGAATCGAGTTTTCGTGTTTCTTGCTATTTATTAAATAATTTATACAAATAATTATTCATACCTACGCTTGTTATGGCTATGCACTCAAAATACTGTATAAATTATTTAGTCGTTAATATAGTAATTGCTAATTGATTTGAATATTACTATAAAATTAAATCAATTACTGTAATTTGTTAATTAAATAATAATTTTGTAAAAATAACTTATCTTACAATACATAGGTATAAAAATTCTTGATAAAATTACATGATATATCAAATTAATATTAATACACTTGTATTATAAGATGAGAATATGGATTAGATTTCTTTGATTTTTAATTCGTCACAATTTTTAAGTTTTATAGACTTCTCTTATAAATTATATCTAATATTACCTTTTTGTTTAATACACCTCTGATTAGTGTCCGATTAATATCTAATTTAATAAAAATAGTTTTAAAATGAGTTATATTTTATATTTGCAGCTAATTTTCGCAGTTTGTGTTAATTGTTATTTATTGAAACCACAGTTTGATGGGAAAGATGTGACAACCGATGTCTTTCAATTGGATTGCCTCCAAACTCACAACTATTATCGGGAAAAGCACTGCTCTTCGCCTCTCAAATACAGCCCAAAAGTAAGCATAAGTTTTAAATAACATTTAATATTAAAATTGTTTTATTTTGTGTTATCTCTTGAAAATCAGCTCAAATTGTTTGCTCTTAAAAGAGCGACTCTATTGCTATCGAATGTGGGCACTAAAGCCGCTTCATTCAAGAACTCAGCCATCGGTGAGAATACATTTATCATGAGATACGATAACTCGACTCCGATTGACTGCAAACAAGTCGTCCAAATGTGGTATAAAGTGAAAATCAATTACAATTGGAAACAACAGACAAAAGCGAGGCCTTCGTCGAGACATTTCGTACAACTGGTTTGGAACTCAACCCAAAGGATTGGCTGCGCGACTGTCTATAGTCCACACATCCGATTCGTGTCCATTGTGTGCGCCTATCATAATGTGGTGCCAATCGGGCGAAACATATCGGACA